TTTAGTGGAAAATGAACGATCCAGAATTCTGGTTAACAATCCAGATTTCTGGTAAAACTACTAAAATTCTAGTAGATTTAACTAGAATTCTGGATTATTCATTTTCTACCAGAATTCCAGTTAATTCAACCAAACGTTTTTTTCTGTGCACTTGTAAAATATTGTTTAGTAATATCGAACGTCTAACAGCTGTTTAACGAAATCAGCTTACAGCTAAAAATCGGAAATTGGGTTTTAATACAAAGGTGCATGTTTCTCGTGTCACTGACCCGATTCTCGCGGCACGTATGTTTTTACTCATCGAGAGGGAATCAGCCAGTCGCCGTCTGGGAAGCTAATTTTACGCCGTCTCGCAGTGGAGTTTAGAAAGACTCCGCGGTTCGACGCAATGACCCATAATAAGAAGATATAGTACGTCCGCAAATAATCATCAAGCCGCTCTTTTGTGCGTTCCGAAAAAAAAAAAACAAAAGACCGTCACGAATACCAAACCGAACATAGCCGATTTGTGTGCAAGACGAAAAACATAGCACAAGACGCGTATCTGCATTTCCATTATCTTATTTTAATGCAATGTTTTTGTAAACTTGCCGACACACATGGCGTCAAGATATTACATAGAATGGCTAGATACGCTGACATTAATAGCACATGTTCGCGAAAAATAATTGTGGCGCATACGGGATCACACATCGTGATCGTGCATCTCTGAGCAGCGTCTCTGAGAGAATCCAAAAAGAGAAAAGATGTGATAACTACGGGATTAGAAAGGTCGAATCAGTAGCTATTCATATTTATTACGCCTTTAGAGGGTCCAAAGTCTCCTTATAATATTTGTCATATAGGGAGATTATTATCTCGGATTCCAAAAATAATGACCCACAAACATATATAGATAAGATTGCGACATAATTGTGCAAAATAATAGATAAGGAAGATTGCGATAAAAAATACAAGATAAAACAAATTCTTTTATTTTTGCACCCACGCGCGCTTACAAAAAAACGGAGTAAAGGAGGCCGTGAGTATCAATGATGAGTCAGCTCGTGCGGTTTCCTTGTTTACGAACGGAAGTTTATGAATAGTTGTGGGAGAGAAGAAGGGAAGCCTTGTTTGGTCGAAAGTAGATCATATGGTCGCGTGAAATGTTTGTGTTTATTATTAGCACAATCGAACAGAATATCGAGAGAGATCTGCTTGTTTTGTCTCGAGAAACATGGCGCTTTTTCGGTCAACGAACCCAAGGAAGTTTAAAAATCCATTTCTATTTAGCGTTGAAGATTTCGCAAAGTCGTTCAGTTACGATCGCGTGTGATGAACAAATTGCAATCAATGCAAATTGGAGTTTTATTTGTGCAATATGAATTCTGAATTCTATATTAAAATTCTTGATCACGCAACAAATCAAGAAAAACAGATCGACAAATAGATAAACAAAAGCGAAGTAAAACGAGACTCCAATTATATATTACGTACGTTATTTTATTATCTATATCACCGACATATATCGTTAATTAAACATTAATTAAATATTATGAGTATCTTATCTCATTTTTTCACCACTAAAAGATCACATGAATGTTACGACATGTATCCAGGAATGAAGAATCAGGAATGCACGAACCTCAATAAGTTCGTTAAAACACAATCACACAAAATAATGCACACTTCAACGTCTGACAAATAGACACTTGGAAATACGGTGTTGGGAGATTGTAGAACTTTCTGTCTTCCCGGTCGCTTTTAATTTCTCTTGAACTCAGATCTTTTAATGCCATAATGGCAAGCTCGATAAGCATCGGGAAGACAGATGCATCAGTGGCGATGGAGAATAGTCATTTCTGAGGTGAATGGGTTTGAGCCGTATCGAATTCGGCTGTCCTTTCTACATTTATCGAGAAATCGGTTAACGCCGGTAGTCTTTGCCCCACGGAGTCACGGAGGTTGTGGCTTTGCAAACCGTTTCGCTATATGTAGAGTGGGGACCATCGTGGCGATGTGGGACATCAGTTTTACCCGTTTAATTCTCGCGACGGGTCGCCGGCACGAACGGCTTTTCCTTGGTTCTCGCATCGCGTCGGGTTGTAGTATCGTCATCATTTTCATTATCTTCATCGCCATCATCTTCATCATCGTTATCATCATTACGTTTGATATTCCTGTAAAATAAATAATATAATCGTGAATCTATACAAAGACATATGAATCTATATAAAGACAGAACATCATAGAAGATTCTATTTCACGATATAGAAGCCTATGACTGATGTCATACTTTATGTCTACGTTTGATGGCCGTATTTCCAAGTGTCTATATGCCAGATGCTGAAGTGTGCATTATTTTGTGTGATTGTGTTTTGACGAATTTATTGAGGTCCGTGCATTCCTGATTCTTCATTCCTGGATACATATCGTAACATTCATGTAGTCTTTTGATGGTTGGAATATTCTTCGATCTTTTACTCAGACATAATTATATATGTCTGTTTTCTTAAATGAATACAATTATATCCTGCAACGAGTTAGTTGTATAACATATTTTGATACCCCTCAAAGAGAAAGGGTCAGAATATCGTTCATCCTTACATGCTCACGTTGTAGACATGTGGCAATTAATGACATACTGGCGATGAAAAGTCAATTTTACAGCATGGTAATATCTACCTCGATATTTCATGGATATTCAATATTCCTGGTGCTAGTATTGTTGCATATAATGTCAAGATACTGAAGCGGGGTGATTGAACTCGGTAAATGGAAAGATAATCCGCATCTGTGGCATTGCGAGATATATATACATATATATATATATATATATATATATATCAGGGTTGGGTAGTAACTAATTGATTGAAACGTTAAAAGTTAAAAAAAAAAGTTAAAAAGTTAATAACTTTTAACTTAATTTAGTTACTTTTAAACTTTAATTTATTAACTTTTTTTAAATTGAAAATTTTTCTATTTTTCTTAATGCTAATATTTTTTTTTTATAAAATCTTAAACATTAGAGAATTAATTTAGAAAAAGTTCAATAATTTTATGATGATAATTTTATGACCCTATAATAAGAGTCACACCATACGGTAGCTAGTTTTTATTGACTCGCTAGATTTTGTCAATTCCCGCTTATATTTGAATCACACTAATTTTAGGTACAAACGTTATATTTCAGTAACATAAATACGAATTTTAGGTACAAACGTTATATTTCAGTAACATAAATACGAAACGAGCCTTAGATGAAGAATTGTTGTAGAACAGAGTTGCACATCCACCTATTTTTACATATATTTTTTGTAACAAATACCTAGTCGATGTAGTCGTAAACATGCATAAACAGTTGTTTCAGAAGTTCAAGAAAGTTCGATAAAGGATAAAGAAAGAGAAATAATGCAAACTTTTATTATATATAAGTAACTTACACGTGGATTATATAAGATTAAATTTGCCTAATAATCTATATTTGTAAGGGTTATTTAAAGTAATCTCACTTTAAGAAAAATTTGGATATTCTGATCTCAAAAATAATTTTTTTCAAAATTAACTTTTTTTTAAACTTAAGTTAATTTAATCTTAACTTAACTTTTATTAAGTTAATTATTTATTTCTTCAACTTTCAACTTAATTTTTTTAATTTTATAAGCCATTAACTTTAACTTAATTTAGTTGAAAGAAAAACGTTAACTTACCCGACCCTGATATATATATAATTAGAAGAAGATTATTAATTATTATTTTATAAAGAGAGATTAATTATTTCTTATGAGAAGCAAATGATTTATCGTTGTAATTATTAATTATCCTTTACAAAAGAATTGTATTTTACATAGGTAGTCACCATAGACATAAAGTGAAACTCACATTAATATTCAATACGAATCGCGACAGCATTATTAATTACTCAAGGCCGCTTCGCGGCAGTGTTAAATTGATAAATATCGGAAATGTAACTTTTAATAATAACTATCACGAAAAACATTGGAAATCATGCATAATATTAATATATGATTAACAGGGTTGGCAAACATTACTTTTCAGTTACTTTGTCGTTACTTTCTACAGTAAATAATTTGATAACGATGTTGCAATTTTTTATGACAGTAACGTTAACTAACTAAACGCTAAGGTTGTGCTAAGATTAGAAAAGTCACTTTGATAATTTGTTATCATCACGCATTACTTACTAAAAAAAATAATAAGTAAGGAGTAACGCGTACCGTTACTCATTACGAGTAACGCGAGTAAAAAAGTAATGCGTTACAAATTAATGAAAAAAAGAGTTATTTTTTTCAATAACGAATGACTTTTTCAGCTCGTTACAAGTAACAATTGATTTTTCTAACTCTGATGTTACCATTACCGTCATAAAAAATTCACAATGTTATTATCAAATCGTTATTATACAAGGTAACAATCAACAAAGTAACGGCGTTACAACACTGAGAAAAATGGTCTGGTTGGATTAAACAGTAATTCTGGTGGAAAATGGACGAATCAGAATTTTCTGGTTATGTCTATTAGAATTCTAGTTGAGATAATTCTAGAATTCTGATTAATATAATTATTCTGGTAAAAAAAAATAAGAATTCTAGTAGATTTTACCAGAAATATAGTATCAATCAGAATTCTAGTTATCTCAACTAGAATTCTAATAAATTTAACCAGAAATTTCTGATTCGTCCATTTTCGACCAGAAATTTTTTTCAATGAAGTAACGCGTTATTATCAACCTTAACGATTAATATATCGTAATATATATATTTTATTTTTAGAGCAAATTTTTATCCTTAGTGTAAAATTTATTTTTTTCCTCACTGTTTATTCACGCTCTTTTCGAGCACTGTAAATTTATTCAACTAGGCACAAGGACCACTTATTTTTGTTATTGAGATAAAAAAAAGGTTTGTATAAAAAGATTGATACATGGAAAAATAATAGTTCAGACATTTGTTCGAGCGTTTTAATGTCAAACAAGAGTTTTGTCGTTATAATTTCATCTTTACATTTCGTCTTTACATTAGCCACATAAAATTCTACGGTAAGAAAAAGCACGGCGATTTATATGCACGTCGTTTCTGTTTCAGATCGGTGGATCATCATGCTTACCTTCCAATTCACTTACATGATCGTTCTCCTGGCCGCGGTCTTCCTGTAAGCATTAAAAACGATGGAGCAATAATGAATAAAATCATAAAATGTAAAATCTTAGGCTGATATTCATAGTCCGTTTTTATTCACTGTCTTAAGTAATGTCTTAAGCTATTAATTCAGTTCTGATTGGTTTATGACATCTTAAGATTGTACTTAAAATAGTCATAAGTATAAAGAGTGACTATAAATACCGGCCTTATATTGTACATATGTTACGGTAATCAACAAAGCTCTAATGGTGTTACAGGATCGACAAGTGTCACGCGCATTCCGCGATCGCACAGCGGCACGAGCCGAGACCGCTGTGCGTGGGCTGTGGCGACAAATGCGAGCAATGCGAGTTCGGTTACACAACGTCGACTCTCTGCGGTATCTCGGAATGCCGAAGGGTGAGTAGCAATTAACAATATAGTACGATGCATTGTTCCACTTTAGAAAATCATTCTTGAACATATCTCATCGTATATCATAAAATCCAAAGACTCGTATTTAGAACGCGCTTAAAATGATGATACATTTGGCATATAGTTTACGTTACATATACTACAAAATTTCAGAAATAAAAGCGTATAAATTAAATTAACAACGTATACATTCATTGATAAAAGTGTTGAGACAAAGTTCTAAATATGAACCAAGATTTACTGTGAAAAATAAAATTTTGATTTTAGATTTTTATTTAAAATGTCGTATTCTAAACTTTGAAATTTAACGCAAATTTGCGCAAGTTCTATTCTGTCTTTATCTTCAATGTTGCGTTGGTCTCCATTTGGAAATTCGTCGAGAATTCTACGAGTATATGATGAACTTTCGCGATTTTATCGACATCGATTTCCTGTAGGGCCCCGGACAAATTTGTGGTGGTCCAAGTGATTCTTGGGGAGTCTGCGGCGACGGATTGATCTGCAGTTGCAATCGTTGTACCGGCTGCAGCGTGGACAACCTCACGTGCTTCGCGAACACTTGTTTGCCCCATCAGAGCCTGGAGACGCGGAGCTATCCCGATATCTTCGACAACTTCCCCAACCGATTCGCCAAGTAAACGGAAATCTAAACCAACCCCCGGATGGACGAAAAGAACGACGAATGGATGAGACAACGAATGTGAGAGGAGCGAATGTAAAATGAGAAAGATGGAGAGAAACGCGGATATATATTAGTGATTTTCCGAATTATTTATTACATTTCACGATATAATCCCATTAGGTATCTTCGATTGTGATAGATAGCTCGTCGGAGCCTCGTCTCTACCCTGGTAGCAAGTTGACACTATTTGACGTCAAAATGACGACAAAATGACGTAGCTTGCTCCCAAGATACCCACCCTCATCCCCATTTCCCGCTCCCGCGAGACGACGGTGCCCTTGTTCGTGTATAATGGCATTTCTGTGATTTTTTAATTACGTTATCCCGTCTTTATACACGCATGTCTCAATGAAACTCGCGCCCGTGTCCGCGTGCTTATTATAGCGAGCGCGCGCTCGTACCGGCTAGATTGATCTCGTGAGAGATGAATCATCGCGCATGGTCCTTGGCTGTGAATCGCGTCTCTTGCTGAATAACAAGAGACGATCGACGGGATCCTCGAATTTCGTGTCAGGAAACAAGCCGGATCTCTGTCGAGAGTAAAAAAGCGGAAGAAAATGACTTTGAGGATGAAGTACATGAGGAAGATACGAAAGTCCTCCCCTCTCCTGTTTCCCTACCTTATTCTGTAAAACAGTCATAACATGATTTTTCACATTCCGATTTGACATTTCGATTACGCATGTATTTACGAAAGTTATATCGACACTTCGCATTTATCTTAATATTTATTTTCATTATTTACGTTTAACGACGCGTTTAAACTTTAAGGAGAGAGTGAGATCTCCCTGCGATAAGGAATCTCCCGATAATGCGCGCCCGCGTTTAGATAAATATTGTCAGTACATCAATACCTTGCCTTTCACGAACGGACTGTTACTAATATTTATTAAATAGACACGAAAATAGTTAATAGCTGACTTTTTCACCGGTACTTCTCTCGCATCGATTAGTCTGGTAAGCGCCTCAAAAACGAGTATCTTACATAACTCTCGGTATTTCTGTGGAGACCGGATGTGAATATTTCGGCGAACGCGCCGCCTCTATGTAACAGACAACAGAATAAAATTGGTTGCATTCATGTGCGCATCATTGACGTACCTTCCCTCGTCTCGGATTAATTTGTTTATCCGCGCTCTTAAACCAGAACTAGCCTGTTGCCTCATTCGCAACAAGATGAAATTGTTTCTTTACGATGATAAATGAAACGAAATGGTTTGTTTATTCAAGCGATAAGTGTAACTCTCATGTTTGCGTAAACAAAAATGTTCTTTCGCATTTTTGAGATTTAGTATCTTCTCTTCTTTTATTTTAAATAGACTTTAATCGATATTTATAGGCAAAGCTTTGAAAAAACACTTTAAAAAAAAATAGTCGAGTCACAAACATGTTATTGATTAAAAAATTAAAGATTTTAAAGCATCTTGAGTATTGAAGACAATATGGCTTTCCTATATAAGTGCTGCCATCCAGAATTACTGGTGAACTGCTTTACTCGTTGGATAATGTATCAAATTTAGATACACATACATAATATAATCTCATTTCATTCAGTTAAAAAATGGCAAATGAATGTATACTAAATAATGTATACTTATCACCAAAGTAAATTACAAAAAATGTAAGAGTATTCTTTAATATCTATATATTAAATATAACCATCATATATATATGTATATATAAATACTTATTACAAAGATTAAAAATTTATTATTCACAAAATCCGGGCAGAACCATAAAACGCAAGTACAACAACAAAAAGTATATATTAATATATACATTTTTTATGCGCTAGTCATTATACAAGTATCATTTATCAACAGATTGTACAGTTCGCGCAATTAATGCCTTTCAAATCTATGACACCACGTTCACTGGTGAGGCATCGCGTTTACTTTCTCATCGGTCGTTTTCACATTCACGGCCGTAGTCGAATGGACTAAACAAGCATATAGAAATTGGAGAAACTCGCGTATTTCGCCCATGAACGCAAAAATAACCGAAAAAGTAACACGTAATAACAAAACAAGGTTGGAAGGCATTAATTGCGCGAACTGTACGGATACAAAATTACGCTACAGATGTATCTTCGATTATAATTTGCAGGATTCGAATTTATAACGCGTTAATTACATTAATTACATAAAAAATGATATAACAAGAGAGTATATTAAGAGATTTGTATAATTATTTAACTAATTTCTATCATACATATATATATATATATTTATATATCTCAACCGCTTTCCTTCAAGGCGCGATGTCGTCGATCATTACTCCTTTCTTCGACATTATTATTTATTGCCATCGTTCTCATATGAAAGTCATCATGGAAAAAGTCGAAATGAGAAAATAAGAACAATGATAAATATTGTCGTAAAGCAATGTTCCGTTAATTATCGATCAATTCCCGAGATAGCTTCCAACAGGATTAACAAAGTTACAGTTCAAAGACAAACGGAGTGTTTCAAAAGCGTACAATGTAATCAACTTAATTGAAATTGTCATTTCCTTTCTCGCCTCCGATCCAATTGCAGGTCTTGTCCGAGTTACAAAGGAATCCGCAAAATGCTGAAAAATAAATGATACACAATATAAGAACAAATATATGGAGAAGGTCGAGAAACGTGCCAAAGAATTCGGTGCTAAGAAGAATTTAAGGGTCAAGGGCTCGAGGCGCAAGCTCGATGTTATATTTAAACCGCTTATAAGCGCTGAGATGTCGCGGACACATGTTGCAGCTGTTTACATTTTCCTTGTGCAGTTAATGAGTGCCGATTAGTATTAGCACGCAATCGTCGCAATCATCGCGAGCTATCACGGTTTCAAACACGCCTGAAGAATAATTCTTTTGTATTTTATGAAAATTTCTGGCTAATGTCATACACGCAATCGTCGGAATAAAAGAAGATGTGTTAGATAATTTTCATTACAACATGTAAATGTTCTGTGATTATTCCAAAACACGCGTAAAAGTAAGATTAAACTAAATTTTTAAATCAAGCAAAGACAAAAACATTCTTTTATCCATTTTTGCTAAAAAAATACTTTTAAGTTTAGAAAAAAGTTATGTTTTTATTTTTTTCTGGATATTATTGTATAATATCCCAGCAAACAAGATTTTGGTGATCTTAAAGACGTTCTTGTGACGTCAAAATAGCGACAAATAATATCAATTCGTTTGCTGGGACTTATCCACACATGCATACACACTGCATATATATATATATATATATTGTATAATAATAGAATATATATTATATAATATATCTATACTCAAATAGACAATATGCATATCTTAGGTGTGTTAAATTAGAACATTTTTGGAAAAACTTGTTAACGTATATTTCCAAATTATTAATTTTGCAATACTCATCTGATAGCATTATATAAGTTAGAAAAGACACATTCCAGACATTCCAGATTCACACAGAAAAATTGTACGTATTCAACAGCCAAGTATAATTCTGTTAGATCTTAAGAGAAACGGATTGGGAATATATATGTAGATCGAAGTAATTATCACATCTTCCACTCAGCCTCGCAGCAAATGCATCACATCAGTAACAAGTTCTAATTTACGTCAGCGCAATCACGAGACATAAACGGGAAGAACCTCTTGCACACGTCAACGTCCCACGTCGTCTCTCACACCATCGTCAGGAAGGGACAGCTTATTGGCCGTTTTGCTTCAGCAGTTTCCGCGTCCTGAAGCCACGGAAGCCGGCTTGGATCCTCGTTGCCGCTGCCTGAACGGCCTGCTGTCTCTTTCGCACCAGGAAACCGCGAATGCCCGCCTGGATCTTCGTCGCCGATTTCTCCTCGAGCGCCTCCCGAGTGCTCTGTCTCTTCAGCAGATGCTCCTTCGGCTTCATATGTTCCTGCTGTTGCTGCTGCAGCTGCTGCTGGTTCCGCTTCTGGTCCTGCTGATTCTGCTGTTGTTGACGACGGCGCTGCGTGGATTCCTTCAGCTGCTTGCGCACGCGGTATCCGCGGAAATTAGCCTGGATCTTCGTCGCCGCCGTGTTAGCCTTCATCGCGTCGGCGTCCTCCTTCGAAGTCTGCGACATGAACGGAGTTCTAAGCCGGTTACGCGAAGCTCCGTGTCTCGATCGTTAAAGTCCGTCCGTAAAATTCCGAGTTCTCCAAGGTGTTTCACGAAGGCCGACTTCGCAGAAATTCGCCGTTTTCCCGGATTGCTTACAAAAATCGTTTCCGGAAAGATTCGTGTACCTTCACGGCTTATTTGCAAAGATCGATCCCAAGAGCGAAAACAATTCAGATTATTCTTGATTATTTGTAAAGATCATTCTCGAGAGAACGGACTCGTTCGAAAGTTCCCCTGGCGATTTATCAGAATGGTATTCCGAACGAGAAACCGAATAAAGAGAGATGAAGATTCGTATAAGATATATATTTAAAGATTTGTTTCAAAAACGGAAACGAGTAATCTTGCAGACAGGATAATCCCTTGATTATTTATAACCCCGCTAGCGGAAATAGGACAGATAACCACCTCAGGGTATCTTCGACCGACTATAAATATATCGATGGCAAAAGAAAATAGCGGCTTTCTTCTCAGTAAAAATTTTCTTCAGGAAGAAAACCAGGTCTCCCTATTATTTCAGGGATCTTCTGGGAAACCCCAATATCAATCGCGACTAGACATCTGCGAAATGAATCGCAAAAAATAATTATGAAAACAGTCTTCAGTAAAATTCGGATCGATGTTCTCCACGATGATTTATAAATATCGGTAGGGAGCAGGCGGAGCAAGATCTTCCCCGATTCTCTGGGGAGCGGGAATTTTATCTCACGTAAAAGATACGATAGCTCTTCCTGGCAGAACACTTTTGCGCTCACTTCCGCGATCTCCTTATCGCGCGTCCTCCTAGCCAGAAGCGGAACGGGAAACTGACGCGCAACGAACGCACGACAAAGAGGCACAAGTTAGCTCAGCGAGCGCGGTTTATCCGCCTCGGACGAAGGATGGATCTATCACGCATGCGTTCTGCGATGATAACCCGCCGGCGAAAGAGGCCCGTTCAGTTTCTCCGAACCGTCGATCACCTTCATGTCTTATTTCACGCATCCGAGGATGGGTTAATTTCGTACAAAGTTGGCAGAGGGTGAGCGCCGATCATCCGATAGCTGCGGGACGGCCTTCGCGCGCTTTTAAATGAAGCTAAAAACACGAGCGTGCTGGATTTTACATCGCTTTGCGAGAAAACTGGAGAAAGAATGCAGTTCGGGAGCAATTTGAATTACCATAAAACCGTGAAGCCACAGATTGTTTTTACTTTTTTTTCTTTTTAAATATACGTATTTACCTCATTATTTATCTTACTCTTTATACTGCTATTGCACTGAGAAAAAAATGTACTAAATTTTAATAAATATTTGTTTGAATAGTGCCAGTTGAATATTTAATAAATGTAAATATATATTTATTTGGTACAAGAACCATTGATATGATTTACCTATTATATTTTATTTAGCAAAGATTTATTTTTCTTAAATAAATGTTATGTTAATTGCTACTCAAATAATTATTTATTAAAATCTAATACATTTTTCTCTCAATGTATGCTATTTTTATTATTATACGTTATCTGTTTTATAATCAAGTAAGAAAAAATGCAGGATTTATGAAAAAGTTGCCACTACGTTACGTTAAATTTAATCAAGTGCCAGAATATTTCTTCACTCTTAGAGTATTTTCAATTTTCGTTTTATTTCTGTTCCTCGACGATACGCTCATTCATTGAGAAATATAATGTAAGCAATTTAATTTAGGGAACTTTATATAATACACTTGTTCAAGTACCATTCGGACATTTATTCTTCCACTTGCGACTTGATTGATCGCGTCGTGTCAGGGGAGAACGCTGTATTGGGGAGCTCGCAAAGTGTTCGTAATACGCCTGGGATAGCATTAATTTTGGTCTCGTGAGTGCGGTCGACACGCGCGTCACAGCGAATTCGTCGTCCTGAGGCCAATATACGCTGATTGATGATTGATGCTCGCGAGAGTGTCGACGAAAGTCCGCGCGCGTGCGGCCAAGAACATTCCAATTTGTTTGCGTCCGCTGTTTGATCTCTGCGTATTCGCGCATAACTCTTCACCGATGCTCATCATCACGAAAATATACTCGCTCGGATACGCGTCATCCAATCGACCGGCTCGGACATCGATAACGATCCCGCTCGTAGATCTCGCGCGTACTCGTCACGCGCTTCGTCTCGTTCTCCATCACATATTTCGCGTCTAACAAAACGTTTTTGTAAATTATATTCATTGATATTTCTAGTGTTTGTTAATTAATATAAATATATTGTTATTTCTTATATTAGTTTAGATTAAATTGGGATATCGATTTTACAAATAAAAATTGCACGGTGACCTTAAACATTTGCCAGAGATAGAGAAGTGGACATGTTACTTTTGTTAGGCGAGGTTAAATGATATTTTAATCAATATAAAATTTTTAGATAAAATTAATTCTATAAAACTACAGTTTTAAAAATATAAAATAGGGAGAGAGAGAGAGAGAATTTTCACTGTGCAATTTACCGATAATAATATTAATAGCTAGGAAGTTTGCAAATTCTAATGTAATATAAACATTAAAACGGCAGACACATCTTTTATTAATTAAAGGCTCTCTTTAAAAGGAAATCGATTTCATCATTTTCAATGTTGATTAATGTTATTTTCATGACTGTAAAAACTAATTAAAGTCGAAGGCCAAAATTGTACATATTTTAAAATACGTAGGTAACTGAAGTATTATAATTAAAAAAGGTGAAGTAAAAGAATGCGATAAAGATATCGTCTCGAAAACTTTCTGAGAACGAAGCAATCTATCCGCAGCTGCACTCGCGAACGCTGATTTCGCTTACCTTTCAAAGATACTGGACGTACGTGACAAAGTTGCGGTAGCAGATCGCTCGCGACTATTAGCGAGCGTGACAGAGTTTGGAAATACACGATGATATACACGACGATCACTACGAAAGAAAGAAAAGAAGAAAACGGTTGCTGCGACTGATCGCGGTGATGCCTGCACGCGCGTCGTAGCGAGTGGCGGCGACAACGACGGCGTCGTCGCGACGCCCGATGACGTCACTGCGACGTCGTGCCCTTACCTTGGATCCCCGCTCACTGGACGCTCGAGACGACCACGATACTGATCGCCATTCGTCTCTTTCTCTCTTCTCTTTCTCTCTTTAGATCGCGGCGGGCACTAAAAATATGTACCAAGGTCCGTATCCGAGCTGCTTGCATTAATTCTGCGTGATCCAAATGCAAAACATTGTCAGCTCGATTTCGAAGCTTTTTGATTATAAGGGACGCGATTAGCAGCCAATCACAGAAATTCGAAGAATACAAAACACTTCACTGTGACGAAATTTCTCTATACTGTGTTTTCACTTTTGCATTTTTGATTTTCTAGGAGCCAGGACTAAATAGCAAGTTATGCTAACGCGAAATATTAGTAAAACGAGCAATTATTTCCATCAATTTAAGATTTTTGCGTCATACTTGTAATTAATTCATAGGCCATAATTGTGCAGTAAAGACGTTGGAAGTATCTTATTACCAAGAATATACTTAATTTGCAAGTTATAGCTATCGATATTTGTTAATTGGATTAGATATTTCTTATGGTAGATATTCTAAAGTGAAAGCGAATTGAGTTATCTTATATATGCAATTTATTTGATGCTCTTTGCATATACAAAGATAGACAATATAATTTCAAACTATGTAAAAAGCGGAAAAAGAGACTGTTCGCTTGTATCATATAACGAAATTACGACTTTAGAGCTCGTTGCATGTCCCTCGTATATAAATTAGTAATTGAGTGCTGTGTCATAATTTTTTTCGTGTACATTAATACTATTCCTGAGTGATATCCTTCTCGTACCGTCTATTTATTTCTACATAAACAAATAAACAAACAGACATTCTGAATTTTGCGTTAAGAATAATATAAAACGCAAGTGCTTCTTGCAAAATATTTTAATGTGCAATGGAATTCTAACAATCCTTGTCTGGCAAATTCCTTAATTTTAATGGGAGGAACCAATTGACCGATCATACAATTCGCGACTCCTGCTCATGTCAGCCTACACATCTCCATGAATACGTGATTCATGAATATATGATTCACGTTTTATCCTTCTCTTCTTCCACGTGCTCATGGTTATTGCCAGAGAACTCGTTAAAATTTTTATTTGCATCGTCGCTATGTAAATCGCTCTCTCCAACACTCTCAGGGTTGCGATCAGACTCTTGTCCTTCAGCTTCTTGTTTCCGGTCTTCCGTTGTATCCGTAGTTCTCGGAGATATCCCTAAATCAATCTTCGTGTCCTCGAGGGCACATTCCTCAGATGGCATTGAGCTATTTGTATCCAACGAGGTCTTCGGCGCGGTCGACGGTTTCGTCGACTCCGACGGGACGACTTCGTCTAAGCTGGTCACCTCTTCGATCAAGACACCTTGAGGAACTCCTGGAAGGGCCAAGGGTTCCCTAAGACTACCCTCGCCGGAAGTCGTTGAAGGATGAGCGTCGCTGGTGTCCTTTGTGCTCTTTATCACATCGTGCAGAGTCAAGGAATCCATATTGGAGTTCAGATCCTCGACGCTGGTTATGAAGTTCAGGTATTGATTCTCGTCGTCTCTCGGATAACCCAGCATCACAATGTCCATAGTCGGTTCCATGGGTTTGGCTCCTCTAGCATTTGCATTAAAATCTGAATGGGAATTTTGACTGACCGTGAAGTGGCAATTGCGGGATGCATCCGCCAGCAGATGCATCACGATTGGAAAGGTGGGATCAACGAAGGTGTTGCCTTTGTGGAAAGTCGTCCGATGTTCGCGACTGTGACAAGTAGCAAAAGATGTTTACACAAAGGTTTTTAATTTAAGACATTAAGTAACAAATAGAGTAAAGTCGCCTATTATGGGATAGGTTCCTAATATAAGATAGCGGATTCGAGTTTCTGCTAAACTAATAAGCGTATGTGTTTGGTTCTATCATGAACTTTTTACTCTTAGTGTGAAACATGTTTAGTAGAAAATTTATTATTAGATTATGCGTGTAGTCGTTGCAAAAAAAGATTTGTGAAATTGAATGTCGTCAAATTTTATTGAGGTTAGAGAGTCTTTAAATCTTGTTTTATTATATAAAAATGAATATTAGGTAATAAAATCTGCATATAGTGATAGAGTAAAATCGTATTTATAGGAAAACACATGATATAATGATTTAACTGTGAAGATTAGATTTGGTGATCGTACCGCAAAGCATGGAAGTCGTAATATGAGATACTCAGGGTATTCCTAACTAATATGAGAGCATCTAAACAATTCAATATCTCAAAGCACTATCGAACGAAATGTTAAAAATGACGATTCTATTGTTAAAATTATTCACACACACATCGAAAAATTATATAATTATTATGTATAACATTTAAATTCTTTGTCCCTACTTGTATGTAATATAATAAAAGTGTATAAAGTATATAAAGCTTATCTTCATTTTTCCTTAGTTTTTTGTTATGAGATACCACCTCATACAAGAAAACCCTTGTATCTCATATTAGGAACCTTTTTTTGAATAATCAAAATTGATACTTTTGATAAAAAATTTCACATACAACAAAGTATAGCTATTATCGACTGCTAACTTTTGACGATAAAACTTAAATATATTTCCCATAAATTTGACATGAAGGTAGAAATTCAGATTACAAATTAAATAAATTACAAGCCTTTAAAAAAAGCTATCTCGTAATAGGAGACTTTACCCTAATATTTGAAACATATACGTAATAATAAGTATAGACTGCGCATTACTATGAGATCAAAGATGGCTGTTATTCTTGTTAACATCTAAAACTTTATATAGATTCAATATATTATGTTCTCTTTCTAATGGGAGCACAAACGTTGAAGATTATATAGAGAATGCACAGCTTATTACATCTACAATTTAAAGAGTAACCCTATAAGTATATTATTTAATATTAACTAATATTAACTAATATTAACTAATATTTTAGGCGTATTCTTAGAATATTGAATGTAACATTTTAATAATATTTTACTATTATTATATAATATTAAATAGTATTCCTGAAATATTAATAGATACGGTTATATGTCTATTTATGATAATATTATATGATTATTAAAAAAATAATAATATTTAATGTTACTATAACATTATATAAACATAAGAAAGTATAGCAATAATATTTACTT